GATCCGAGCTTATATTCTCCTACTGCTCAATTTTTGCCGCCGAATATATTGCCATTAATTAGGCAAATACATAATTTGTTCCGATAGCAAATCGTGTGTAAAAACACTGGACAAGGAACTGCTCATTACAGAGTCCAGAGATTTGTTACCGCATCATCATTCCGAAATGAAAATCATGTTGGCCACAGCGGTATTACGGGCAATAAAGACACTACAGCCAAAAAAGCTTACAAAATGCCAAGTATCAACCACAATATTGAAAGCAGACATTTTCAGGGCAACAGAAAATTATATTAATGAGCTTGCAGTAAAAAGCTGGCAATCGTATCAACACTCTTTCAAAACCTATAACCAAAACCGGTGTAGGCCTATCCTCCCAACTTCAGCATCAGCCGACCAATTGTGAATTATTCAAAGACTGTGTATGGGGCACACGAAGATCACACACGAGCAAATGCTGAAAAAGTAGCCCGCTTCTTCCTGCCTAACTGCCCATTAAACACAACATCGATTCTGCTTAAAATATATAGACGCAAGAAAAAATATTTTTCATAATAAAAAGCCTACTGATCCTTAAAAAAATTTAACTGCAAACAATGTTAAAAAATATATATAAATTCATATATCAATGTAACCTTTTACACCACATTTAAGAATTGTATTAACTATTTACATCTAAGGGTACTTTATATACTTTATTATAAAATTTATTAGGAATAAGTCAGGCCGATAGCCCCAGCTGCTAGTTGCCTTTAATGTAATGTAATTGTTTTTCATACAAATAAAAATATATATATATATATTTATATTTTATATATAATTTTATATATATTTATATATATATATATATTTATATATTTAATCATATTTATTTTATATATTTAATCATAAATAGATTCCATTATTTATGAAAATATGCTGGGATAACTGCGCCAGTGGAAGATGTATGTAGAATTCATGCAAAATAATCCACAGTTAATAAACGCGAAGAACACGCCAAATGATCCCCAGACGCAGAAAAGACTGTGGGACCAAGTGATAAACGTAATATTATATTCTGTGTATATTATCAAACGATAAATTTTTGCATTTGTAGTCTTTGAGCAATTGGCAAAGACAGCTCCGCGCTCGGCTCGTAAGTTAAAGGCAGAACGCTTGCGCACTGGTGTAGTCTCGTTTACAGGCGAAAAGTTACCCGAGTTTAAAGAATAAGCTCTTTCTGAATTTGGCATTGGTGCAGCCAATGGATTAGAGTGCGTAACTCTCAGTCTTCCTATAAGTAAATCATTTGCCATTTGTTGAATATACACAAAACTTTAAGTTTCTGCTTGCTTAATACATGTTCACAACTCCTGAGACTCACCGAATTAACCATGGACCAAACTGCATCAAACAAAAAATTACAAAGGACGCAATTTATAAGGTGATGGCTGAATATACCCAGTCTCCAAGGCAGGTAGTTAGTTTTCTTTTTTTTATTAGTTACATAAACGAATCTTTTATTTATTTTTACCCATTTACTTAAATTTTTTGCTTATTTGTCTAAAAGACATTTTAGTTAGTGGTATTAAAATTTATGTAAATATGTATATATATATAGCTGGCCTTGCAACCGCTGAAACAATTTTCAACCAAGCTAGTCCTCCTCCAATTTTTGGTTTTGCCTCTTGATGCTTTTCCAACAAATGAAGGGACCTACAGTTTATACCAAGCCGCCTCCGAACGGCTGGTGGTTTTTTTACGAGAAGCCTTTATTTCATGTCCGAAAGTCAGAGGGGTGGACATTCCCGGGACGACCGCAATTAGAATTTTTTTTTAAATTAAATTTCCAAAAATTTTAGATGTTAGTGGTCGGGGATATGAACCCGAGCTTCCGAATGTCAGAACGCAATGCTAACCAATCAGCTACTGCGGCCGCCATATGTACATAGCTATGCATACATATAAAGTCAATAAGACTGAATTTGTTACACAATAAACAGTGCTGTTTTTTAATACTTATTTTCATTTCTTCCCAAACCATTTGAAAACTTCGGCTTCACGAAAGAGTTGTTGCGGATAGTTGTTGCTAGCACAGTCTGAAGATTTTCATCAATTTCATTCTCCTCCTGTTCCATTTGCTCTATGTTAGTTTAACATGCGGTTTTATTGATAATATGAGAGAGTATTGCACATGAATTGCCGATACAAAAAAAAACGATAAAACGGTAGTAAGGTTTTGTGATTATTAAATGTGGTGCTTTGAGAGATAGAAATCTTGATATAAATATACTAAAAATACGTTTAATTACATTCTGTACTGCACAGTGTACTTTATTTTAATTTTCCTCAAGCGCGCTTGTTGGTTTTGAAACTCGGTCACAGAGTCATGACAAGACCCAGGATGCCGGATTTTTGGGGTAGTTGCATGGAGGTGTAGTCATTTACACAAAACTTCGAATAAAATCTGCAAGCATTTTTATTAATAATTTAATTTAATTAACTGTTGTTTAATTAACTGTTTTAAAAAGTCGTTTTTACCATCTTTTTTTGTGATTGTATTTTACTTGTTTTTGGGAAGCAAATTTCACTGGTTTTTACTTTGGCTATCAGATTTGAAATGAAGTGCTAAACAGAAGATTGGCTCATCGCAGTGAGGCAATTTCTCCTAATTTCTAATACGACCCGTGGGGAAAATATATATTGGTGAGAGAAACCTCAAATAAAACGGCAAGGATGTCTTCTATCCAAAAAAAAAATATTATTTAAAATTGATGTGCTAAATTAAAATCTACTCACTTGTCATATGGTGCCAATTCGTTCATAAGACCTAAACAAATTGTTTTGTTCAGGCGAAAATTCTGAATGAAAACGCTGTATTCCAAATTAAGTTGGTCATTTTTTTCCCAAAACTTCTTAACATGCGCCTTCTTGCACTTTTTTCTTAATTTTCAATAAATTCTAGACGTAAAATATGTCAATACATTTCGGTTTTGTAATTTTCCACAAGCTATCAATATAAAATCGAACAACTGATTGTTTGTTACCTCCTTTTACAAACAAAACTTACAGGGTGACAGTGAATTCAGAATAAGAAATAGTAACAGAATTTACTGAATGGTAAATTTTAATATCATATCAAACCCTGCACATTTTTGACATACATATAGTTTTTAGGGGAAGAAGAAAGAATTCACATTATGAAAATTTTAAGCATCAAGAACTAGCAAGCAAATTCGTGGTTACATTTTTGTCAATAAAACAATTAAAATTAAATTCACTCGTAAGGGTGTGGATGCACCCGTTCGTTTCTAGTGCTTACTCAGTCCAAAGTAGAACGTGTTGGCAAAATTGGTTCGCGTTGGATTTCAAGTCTGAAGTTGTTGTTGGTGTTAATACTGATTGCAACGCAAACGAAGTTTTTTTATGACTTTTAAGTTATAACTTTCAACAGTGACGTTGCGATGACTGTTTGTGTGATGGCAGGAGATGTTTCTTTTTGCCCTCCTTCACTACCAGAACCATACTCTTCCCCTCCTTATCCAGTTTAAAGAAAACAGAACTCACGGCGCGGTTCTTGAGGCCAATGATGTAAATATCATCGGCGTACGCCAGCAACTGTTCCCTCTTATAGAATATTGTACATTCTCAATGCAGCTCTTCAGTTCGTATTAATGCAGCAATAAATTAAATAAGACGCACAATAAGGTATCACCCTGTCTGAAACCGCGTTTGGTATCTAACGGCTTCGACAGGTCCTTCCCAACCCAGACGGACCTTTTTTCCAATTCTTCGTTAGCTTATACCTTCGAAAAAACATACTTCGGCAATATATTTAACTGTTACGTATAGTTTCGAAGTAATCCTATGTATTCAGTTATGCAAGTATAAAAGTCTTTGAAAATCAAAAACTATGGTTGATCGACTTGAATTTTTTCTATCGTATTCAGGAATACTTCAGGTATAAGTGATCTTCGAAAAAATCGGTCGAATTCAAATTGTAAGTTTGGCATGGAAAATACCGTCAGATTTTTATGTTAAATTTAAACATTTTCGCAAGACGACGAAATGTTTTGGGACTTAATTTTTCTATTTCCATCGTAGGTTCTTTTATAGTATACAATCCTTATTAACGCCTTTCTGTCTTTTTTCTTGTTAGGTTCTTGAAGCCAGATACAACGATAACAAAATGAAAACGAGTTTTTTCACACCTCCGCGAGATAGCTTTAAAAAATGTGGCTGGTCGATGAAGCGATGTTTCGGCCGAGCTCCTCCTCCGATATGTGGTTTTGCGTCTTGATGTTTTTCCAACAAATGGAGGGACCTACAGTTTATACCAAGCCGCCTTCGAACGGCTGATGGTTTTTTTACGAGAAGCTTTATTTTGTCCGAAACACACTCGAACGAGCGACTGTAGTTGGAAAATTTAGTTTAATTTTATTATTAAAATTAATTTTTCATAACTTTTGGATGTTTGCGGCAGCGGGATTAGAACCCGACCCTTCCAAATGTCAGTACGAAATGCTAGCCGCTCGGCCAACTTCTAAGGGAGTAAGTTTAAAGTTTTTATACGTGTGTATAGCGAGGTGCTTGCTTCAAGACCGAAGCCCGCTTGTAGTCACACCTCTGGTGGTCAGCCGCTAAAATAAGACTTCAGCCGACCCTTAAACTGAATTAGTCGAAGTGGCTCCACTCCTCTATTTTAGCCGTAACCCAAGGAACTTTTCACAGGGGATCGCTCAAGTTTCAGGGTGCGCAACGTGGACGAAAAAGTAGGAATTTAATATAGCCACGCGATATACGTATATAACAAAAGGTAAAGTGAATTCAATATGTATTATTCACGTATGAGCTAGGAAAACGATATGACAACCATTAAATATTTTGGAAAATTTTTGTTTTTTCTTATAATTATAGTTTTGTTATAGTTGATTATTTTAATATTTCGCGCTGTTGCAAACTAAAAACCAATTATAACATCGATTTGCTATTAAATATGTACAATTAACACACATACTTACGTTTCATTTACAATACAATTTCCTAAGCAAGTTCCAAGAACACCTTGAAAATAATACATTAATAGTTATACTTATTCAGTTGATAACCTAATGGAAACTTCCATGTTTAAATATTCTTGGCACCGTAACAACACAATTTATACATGAACGAACCTTAACCAACTTGGGCCAGCACGATTATATTGATATTTGCACAGTGAGCCCTAGTTTTATACTTTTCATGAGATATAACTCGTTAACTTTTACGAATTGGTTCACATAATCAATTTCGTTACAAATAATAATCGTAAAATGATAACAGTAAATGCAGTTGCCATGCTGATATCTTGAAATTGAAATCAGCCACTATCTGCCTCACATCACCTCTCTTTCTCAATTTACTTACGAAAAAGTTGCTTTACGGATTGATAACTCGTTAACTAACATAATGCTTAACTCAAACCAAAATGTAGATTTGTATATACACAATAGTTTGTGAGTGTTCGTTTGTATGTGGTATTATTTCCCAGTAGAAAGCATAAAGTACGTAATCATCCTCGATTTTTATACTTTTACTGAAGCTTTTTTGTGAATTTGTTGTTATTATTTGGACATAATGTCAAAAACGTTAAGCATAACATGAAATCAAATTTTAAACCGAACGGAAGCTCACAATAGGTAGTTGTGGGCGAAAATGTCTTTTAAATATATAATAAAGAGTTGCTATTGTTTTAAGCTTTATTTAAAGGTTACTTTTTAACGAAGAGATATATTGAAAGTTGTCGAAAGCTTATGAACTTACGGTTCTTAACATTTATTATTATTATTTTGCGCTTTGCACATTTATGTTTCACAATAAAAAAAACTATTAGTTCTTTCTGTTGTTAGTTCGTTTCACTTCCTCCAAGTGCATCTAAGCAGTGTTACCTGTTATTTTATTCGTGGAGTGTGCATCTCATTAAATGGGTACACCGAAAATTCTAACCGAATAAATGGATAAAGGTTTTACATACCACTCCTTTTGTAATTAAAATATCAATATTAAGTAACGTATTGACGGAAGGCAAGTCATGAATATATACAAAGAAATACTGAACCGCTTCTCTGCTTATTCGTAAAATTCACGATGAGGAAACTATCATATTTTAATTCCCACCGGTGAAGACAATACATAACCTTCCAAAATGCTAGTAAAATATAAACTCCCAATATTTTCTTCTTGCCTCAACTGTGTTTGAATAGACATTTTTACACATAATAAATATTGTTTGGCATAAAAAGAATTTTTCACTGCAAGAACCGGTTATAATTTATCTTATGCTCACGCCATAAGAAAAAATTGTTATATGTAGTAGTATCTCTGTATTTCATGTGTGTACAACTTAAATGGCATTTATGACCTGAGTGTGCTGTCTTTCCTTCCTTTGCTATTGGGTCTTAAGTGCACTTTACAAAACCATATGGAATGGCATAAGAGTACGCTTAAGTTACAATAATAAAATGAAATTTATATTACGCAAATGGTTTTACATGTATATTTAAAAATGCCTTATAAAATATTTATAACGCCAAAATGAAAAATATTCATGTTTGAGTGTGTGATAAACCAGTTCAGGTTGATAACTCGATTAATTTGCGCCCGAGAACGTTAAATGTTCAAGTACTGAAATTTTTATTATTGTAATTCAGTATTTAAACATACATACATATATAAGTAGAGACGTATATATATATATATATATATATATATGTACAAGAACTATCAAATAGAGAGATTGTGATTATCGCAGTTCCGTTACTTACAATTACAAAATTTTGACAATAATTTTTTCTCTTTGCTGACGTCACAGCTGCCCCAAAAGAAACCGGAGACTTTTTATACAGACGGCGTTGACGTTTTTTTAAACAGCTTATGACTATTTAATTGGATTTTTACTTCTGACAGTTATAAGCAGCCTCTTTAAGCTTGCTTTAAAATAAGTACGCGTAATTTTCTTTATATTCATTTGCTTGGCGTCAATTTTAATATGGAGCCCACATACTAACATTTTCGCCATATTTTACCTTATTATTTCCTTAAAAAAAATGCAGACCAGGTTGCTAAAAAGTTGCATAGTTTGTATGATAATATGGCTTTAAAAGACATAGTGTCAAAGTTGGCTCGCCAAATTCCGTTGGGGAGATTTTCCACTTAAAGATAAACCATGTTCAGGTTGGTCAAGTGAAGTTTATGATAATAATATCAAGGCTTTAATCGAAACAGATCGTAATGTAACTGAGCGTGAGATTGGAGAGAAGTTAAGTATACCAAAATAAATCGTTCATTGCCATACACGACGCATCAACGCTTGTGATATGCATCTTAAAGCATTGAATGTATTTTTGAAGCAAATCATAACTACAGATGGAAAATATATTGTTTACTGTAAAATCAATCGAAAAGGATCGTGGTCAAAGCAAGATGAAATGCCACAAGCCACTTCAAAGGCGATATAAAATCACACTTGGCTCAGTTTTTTGCAGAATTTTATGAGCGTGAAATAATAATGTTGCCGGAAAGATGGCGTAAGATCATCCAACTAACTGGAAAGTACATAATTTATTACAGTTCACTATAAAATTTATGAAAATTTAATTATATATATATATATAATTGGTGCTTTGTAACCGCTGAAGCGATTTTCGGCCGAGCTCCTCCTCCAATTTGTGGTTTTGCGTTTTGATATTTTCCAACAAATGGAGGGACCTACAGTTTATACTAAGCACCCTCCGAACACTCGGAGGTGTTGAAATTCTCTGCCGAGGGGCGACCGCTATTAGAAAATTTAACTTTACTTTTAAAAATTATTAAATATAATTACTTTTTCATAAAAATGGTTTATTTTGGTGCAACCCAATATTTTGACAATTATATCATTAGCGTTCCGTTGTAGAAATTGCTAATAATAATATGACATCAGCAAAAAACGAAGTTGATTATTAAAATAGAAAACTTTTCAACTATTTGCAATAAATTATCTATAAATTTTGACTTTTGTATTCCGGGTTTCGTCAGGATAACCGCTCTGGGGTAATAAAGACTGCTGGCTACATTCCTTCTGAAATACCAAGTGCAGTCTCGCATTGACAGTCTCGCCTATGTTTTTTAAGAATAAGTTGGACCCTATCACCCCTCCAGTAAGTAACAATACATTTTTTTCGTGTAAAGGAGAGGCTTTAGTTATTTTGAAATCCTCAAAAGCCCAAACTCGTCAATTTTGCTTATTTGCTCATGTGCTCGTCACTGGAGAAAATTTCATTCGAAAAATCGCCATCCGACGTATGTACGGTTTTTTGAATGGTCAGCTAGCTTCTGTTGTTATGTAAGCTGAACTTTATATGGATGCCGGCTTATGTCCAAAGCCAAAATACGCCCTTTCGTGCCGTAAGAAAGTCCCAACTCTTGAGAACGCCGAAACATTAGCGTTTTCGGCTACATTTTTCTTACGGTAGCAAACTTGAAGTGGAATGAATGAAAAAATTCTTTTCAAATTATCAAAACACAAATGGATACTTATTAAACCACGAAGTGGATAACATTATAATTGCCTGACAGCTAATTAAAACAAAATTTTTTTGTCTTAAGAATTAAGTTTGACGGATGCCCTGTTCTTTAAAAACTACAAAATCGATAACCCTATATATGAGGCTTTTTATATTTTGCCTATATTAATCATAATCACAATATTGTCCAAGCTACTGACTTAGAATTACTTAGATACACATAACAAAAATTTTTGTTCTAGAAAGGCTGAAGGAATGGCGGTCATGTGTAGATGTTCACGCAAGTGAGGAAAGTTTTTGATTGACATTCACCTGGGAGTGGCCAGAAACGTGTTTGAAGCAGCTCACGACTTCCAGTTTTAGACCACGTTCCCTCTGCTATTGCTCAGTTGGTTTATGGTCTCGTAAGAACAAAGGCTGACATCACCGCCGTACAAGAAGTGCCATGAACGAAAGGAGCGCACATTTGGTGTTGGATTTGTGGAGAAAGAGAGACTCCGTCGTCGAGTGCTGACATTCGCCCCGGTAGAAGACCGTCTCGCGAAATTCCGCATCAAAGCGAAATTTTTTAGTATATTGTTGATTTGCGCCCCATCCCCGACGGAAGAGAAGAATAATTAGGTCAAGGATGCCATTGATGAGCGCTTCAAGTACACTTATGAGCGCTGCTCCTGTTACGATGTGAAAATTGTGTTAGTCGTCTTCGCCGAAATGAATAAGCATAAAGAGTCTGAGAAGGCGGCAGACGAGGATAATGCTGGAAAATTCTAGGAAAAGATGCGGCGAATTAAGGAAAGTTTCGAAACCGCAGCAAACTGTTGTAAGACCTAGAGGGGTCAGTCAGGTGACGGCTGCTCAGAGTATATAGAATTTATGGGGGCACACCTCTCCAGCCTACTGAATGAAACATCCAGAGAGGGAAGATGACGACTGAGAAGACGTCCCAGTCCTCCTATTCTGGAGAGAGCAAAACTCACAGCGAGGTTGTTGAAGCCAATAGTGTCAATATCATCAGCGTACGCCAGCAGCTGTACATTAATATATAAGATTGTACCTTCTCTATTCAACCCTGCAGCTCGTATTAATTTCTCCAAAAATAAGTTAAAAAAGTCACACGATAAACAAGCAGCCTGCCTGAGACCCCGTTTGATATCATTGAGACCCGTTCCGATCCTGACGGAGCTTTTTGTGTTGCTCAAGGTCGGTCAGGTAACATAGCCGTATAAGTTTTACGGGTATACTGAATTCTCGATTTCGTGCTGTTAAAATCGACGAAGAGGTGGTGTGTGTTGATCCTAACATCACGTGTCTTTTCCATGATATGGCGCATGGTAAGTATACGATCAATGGTTGACTTACCAGGTCTGAAGCCACACTGATAAGGTCTAATCGGTTTGTTGACGCTCGAAAGGGTTTAAAGGAAGCTTACTGCACTGTAATTGGCTTAGACTAAAGGGATCAGTTTGGTATAGATGGGGCAGAGCACACTTAAATTCCAATCGTCGGTCGTGCTTTCGTCCACCCATATTCTGCAAAGTAAGGGATTCATGCGCCTTGTCATTTCTTCACCGCCACGCTAGAATAGCTCTGCCGGTAAGCCGTTAGCTCCCGCCGATTTGTTGTTTTTTAAGCAGGTAACTGATATTCGAACTTCTTCATGTCAGGTAATAAAACGTCTTTTCCATCATCATCGAATAGGGTTTCGGGTTCACAATCACCAGATATTTAATTTTCATTGCTATTCAGCATGCTGGAGGAGTGTTCCCTCCACAAATTCAATATGCTCTGGGAAACGGTAACTAGATCACCTCTTCGAGTCCTATAGAAGTATGCTCCTGCCTTGAAAC